CCCCCCCACCATCTACCACCAAGTTTCTAAACGTAATTCAAGCATTTTAGTATAGTTTTAAAAATATTTATTAATATATAATTTATAATAATAATAATAATTATTTTGGTTTCAGTGTTCAGTCACTTGCTCCACTCTGACAGTTGCATTCTCTTAGGCGAATTTCTGGCAAATTCAGTTATTATTTCACTTTCATGGAATTGCTCTTTTTTATTTATATTAGCCATAGCTAACCCATTCAGTCTGTTTTCCGACATGGTGCTTCTTAAAAAAAATTTTAAGCGATTAAGTGCTGAAAACGTTCTTTCCAGAGCGAAAGAGGTAACTGGTAACGTGGCGAATAATTGTAAAAGTATTTTAATGTTAGGTCGAAGATTGGTGCGATGAGAGAGTGAATCAAGAGCAGAATTCGGTTTTGGAATAGTATTTTGACTCCAATGTTGCCTCCATATGAACAGGTCAGCCATGATTGTAGATGAGGTATCATCATGGAGATCTTGGACATATATTTTAGCAGCTTTTATAATATTTTTATCGTCATACATATTTAAATTGGCCGGAATAAGTCCTTCAAGTGGCATAATATCAATAAGCCTTTGATTAAAACGAGCATTGGTTCTATTAAATAGTCAAGATACATTATACATATAAACACGGCCCATGGGGGAGGCTATAGCCCCCTTAGCCCCCCCCCCTTGGCTACGCCACTGGCCCGGGCCTGTGTGCAATGCACACTCGGTTTTTGTGGCACTGACTGTGACCTGTATCTTAAGAAATTTGATGGGACAACATGCAATGTGCACGAATCAATCTTTGTTGACTATTAATAAATATTTTGGGCTATAATTTCGAAAAAAAAAAAGATTGGTTTTTATTTATATCATGTAGGTTAGGTTATCAACAGTATTTAATTTTATTACTGTTTATTTAAAAACTGCGATGCTCTAAATAATAGAAAATGAAATGTAATATCAATATTTCTTAAAGTATACTTAATAACATTAACAATAGAGTTTAAAAAAAAAAAAAAAAAACGTTATTGTTGGTGACAATTAAGAATTTCTTTTTAAAATTTTTTCCCATTTTCCTTTAACTTATTTTTCATTCATTGGTGCAGCTCGCAGGTTTCTTGCTACTTAGTCAATGTAACAGTTCTTTCATTCGGTCACAGATGAGTGACGTCATCCAAATAATGGGAACAGACATGATCAAAATCAATACATGGCAAAATAGTTGCATAAATTACATTTTATCTTTTTGGAAAGCTGTGATAGTATAACTCAAAAGCGTAGGTTAAAATCATTTATGAGAGAGGGAGCGGAGTTATATGCTTAGGTAATAATTATTTTTATTATTACCTATTTATTTACTTTTTGGGGGTCATTTTTACTTAACTATTTTTATTTTGCTTATGGGGGATGGGGTTGGATCTACGTCTTACCTGAGCTCAGTGTTTGGAAAGAACGTCGTACGTTCACGCATTCACGTTTGTGATCGACACTCGTTATTTTTTCAAATAGAACATGTACATGAACGACTTTTATATTTTTAACGAATTCGAACGGTTTTTGGGACGTTCAAATTTAAAAGCCTATTCAGTAATGTATACATCTCATTGATTGACTCGCGGTCCGGGACACGAAAAACAACCAGCTTTTCCGCGATCGGCCACGGAACATGTCTTCTTTGCGTCCCTTAGAATCCTGCCCGTAGAAGACCGTGCGACCGCCATCAGACATCACAGTCCGTTCCTCAGGCCCTGGTGAGATCTTGTCCGGCAGACCTACGCACTAGGCGGCAAAACAGACTATCGGCCGCGAGTCGGTGCAGTAAGTTTTCAATCACCAATCCCCGCCCATATTTTAGACCGTAAAATGATGGGCGGAAAGAGTTAACAACCGTATAGTTAATATTGTCCAGTCAAATTTTATAAACGCAATCACAAACTGCTTACAGCTGTATGACACAGCTTGGTCGTGAAAATCGATTGTCACCACGCGAAACGCTGACCCAATATACTCACCCTATTCCGTATCTGATTATTATTTATATTTCAATTGTTCAACTGTCGTACGATTTTTGTGTAGATTTTAACATAGGAATTGGCGCAAGCCGTTGTCCAGTTGGCCCGGGTCATAGTAGTCCATTGGGAATTCTAATGGCTTAGTAGGAATTCCGCCAGTAAACCTCTAAGGGTCCTCGACGGGTGTCCTATGTAAGACGACGCAACGGGCTGTCCCACGAGAATCCCGGTGACTTTGATCTCGTTTTTCCACGTGAAAAAAACAAAAAAAAAAAAAGGCACAGACTTCTCCGCGACTCACTAGTACCTTGGTCATTTTCACTAATCACAAACATTCCGAACTCGAGATGATTGGACGATTCTCGACTTCGGTCCATCACGTGCGCAACACGCGTTTTGGTGGGTACACATCGGATTTTGCACAGTGCACCCTACTTTGCGTCCTCGAGGTGATGCCAGTGGCATCCCTAGACCTTAGACCCTTTTATAGGTCGGGGGGGGGGGACGAACTTCATACATGTACACACGATCGTGTTTATTTTCCTACTGCCATATAAATAATAAACAACAACAATTTAAGGAAAAATGTGGCGAAGGGCGACTGTCCCATCGGCCTCTTTCCCCTCGAGGACGCCCCCGGGTAATGGACATAAAAACGTCCACGCACAATTGCAGCTCGGTTTCATATCGTTCGTCTTTGACAGCAACCGAATATTACCTTTTAATGTGACCGCACCGCACACGGTTTCTGTTCTGCGACCGTGCATCGTCGTGGAAACGGGACGCCGCAGTGGAGTCGGGGCATAGCGCGTGGTGCGCGGCACGTGTGACGTACAGAGTTAGGTACACACGGAAAAACAGATAAAACGATTTTTTTATTATCAATAAACAATATCATTACATTCGGCGGTACGGCGATGTCGTATGTACAAGATTCACGACGGCGTCTGGACGTACGGGACGGTGTCGGCAAACGCCTGGAACGAGAAAAAAAAATAAAATACAATTAATTTTCCACGTCGCACATCTTTGTCGGGCACACGAAACGCAGTGTCGTACTGTTAGCGATCTGAACCTCCCCGAGGGTCGCGAGTACTTAAAATGTGTGTCCCCTCACGCAGTCAATCATTCGGCGGGGTTAGCGCCGAATTGGACGTTTGTATTTTTCGATTTTATTTCGCAGGAGAATAATAATACTCGACTAAAATCGAATGCAATCGACCAAAGGATTACTCGCCGCGGGTAATTTATCCGCGGACGCGTCGGCAATTGGACCTGACCCTCATTGACGTTCAACCCGTTTACAGCGACAATAATGTTACGGTGGCCGTTTGAAACATTCTTCGGGCCTTTGTACAGTTAAAATGTCATGTTCACCAAGCCATCGCGGTGTTTTAACTGCAGTGCTCAAACCCCGGAGGGCCGTATCGGTGACCGAACACCCAACCGCAGGTTAAGATATGGAAGGGTAGGGGTTAGGTTTTAGATTATGATCTATTTGGAACGATTCTTTCTACTCTATATTAAGCAGGTGCATCTAATGTTAATAGTTTTTTTTATGTACACTCATACACTCATATATATATGTATATATATATATATAATTAGATATTGAAAAATGATCTTTTAATAACGACCTTTATTATGATTTGGTCACTTCCAACTTAACGGATCAGTGAATGATAAAGGTTCCTTTTGTTGAGACAGTTAGGAAAGCAAAACCTCGATGGTTTTGCCTTCGACAGGCAAGGCTCAGACCGGCGTTCGACTATGCGTTAAAAACAGACAAACATTTATTTTTCTCCTTCACTCTTCTTCCGACTGTTCGGGGTCGGCTACCCTTGTCCTAAACCTTCCCTCGTCTTGATTTTCTACATCCCCTATGCACTCTAACGGCCCTCATATCGTTCTCAATCGTATCCAACCATCTCTTTTTTGGTCTTCCTCTTTTCACTTCAACGTTCATTTTCATAACCACTCATACTGCTTTTGTTTCCTCTCGTCACTATAGTGACACTATAGTTAGAACACTATAGTGATATATATATTTTACACATGAATTCCGTGGTTGGAGCCGCGCACCTGTAGTGTGAAAGGTGAACAAGGAAATTACGGGTGTTTTTTTCCTTAAACTATTTGTAGCATTTTCGATAATTTTATTCAGAAAACATAAAGTCATCATCATCTCCAGCCGCTGCAACATGGTATACACGCGGAACGATGAACGTAACATAAGTAGAATTTTAACCCTTACGAGTGGGTCTGACGATCTTTGTGAACTCAACCACGCACTGTACTCCTGCAAAGGTCCTTATCGTGTATGCGCGTCGGATTTCGAAAATGTGACTAAAAACGTAAGCAGTAATTACACATGAGATGTGTACTACGAATTTGCCCATTTTAACGAGCCGTCCAGTGTTTGAAAAAATCGGTTTCAAAGAAATATGTGCTTTTGATTTGTACACTCTCGTGGACGGAAACCTGGTTAATTTGTAGAAAGGGGTCATAAAATCTCGTAATTTTCGTGCTTTTAAAACGATGATGAAATTCTAATAAGGCATCTGCGTTTTTCATCGTATGTACATATTATAACAAAATTAAACTCTACAACGTTTAGTATAATAATTAAACCGAGAAGAACCGATTGGAGTTAATGAACATTATCATAATGAAAACCGCGTTCTTGAAGATGCTGAAAACTCATTTACAGCCTTTGCATTATAAATCATCTTTGTTAATGATACGATTATTTTAAAATATCTGTATTGTGTGCTCGCCAACTCACGCATTTTACCACTGATATAACAATTTATTTTCTATCAAATTTTAATGAAACCAATCTCCCCCCCCCCCGCCAATGGTGGTTCGGTCTTCGCGTAACGCTACGTACGAGCTCTCCAAATTAACCATTGGTCCGTGGGCTATAACCGGTAATTGCAACGGCCCCTTGCTCCCTCAAAATATAGTTGAAAATAAAAAGAAACTCTAGAAATAAATCGTTTAATGGTTGTAACAGGTACTCGCAGGAAAATGAAAAATACTCGATAGAAGTGTAAACGGAGGTCTCAACGAATTTCGTACACCGCATTAGTCTTATTATGCTATTATTACGTTTCGGAATTTGACAGTTATTGCATAGAGCACACATACACGGAACAAACGTAGGTACTTCAACAGTTTTGGTGAACGAAATAACGATTTTACACGTTTCGCGACGAAAACGTGCCAATGATTTTTGCACTCGAGAACCGTGTAATAAGGTCCTCGTTATCAAAAATCCGGAGACGGACTGCGACGGGAACCGAACCGTAAAACTGCGGCCTGAATGATAGTTACTGTAACACCATACGCCGAACTCGGGGTTCAAGTCCGGTCACGAGCGTACCATATTTTTAGGGTGGCGGGTGGTGCCGTGGTGGATTAGTGTAGCGGAGTAATGAGCGAATTGTTCCGAATAATTATAAATTACAATGCTGCCTATGCAATGGTCACTGTTCAAGACGTTTGAGTGTCTAAACGCTGTCATAAACGTTAAAATAGGTTAAACGTCTTTGGAACGGGGGCGAACTTCCGAACCCCTTTAAGTCGGTCCTCGGGTGGGGTGGGTTTTGTAAGCTGCGAATCGAGTGACCATTGACGAAAAACCGTTCAACGTTTCGTCCGGCGCCGCTATCATGCTCGGAGGCAGGGGCGGAATTAGGGGATTGAAGACGGGGATTCGTCCGGGCGTAGAATTTTAAAGGGTGTAATTTTTGTAATTATTAATGACTAATTTGATTTTTTTTAACTTTGTTAAATACCGTTATTAGGTCAAGACTCAATAAGTATGAATACATATTAATTATTTGAAAAAAAAAATTCTCGAGAAGAGTATTTGATTATTGGTCTATGATAGGGCGTAATTTTAACATTTTCCCCGGGCGTAAAAATTCCTAGTTCAACCTCTACTCGGAGGTAAATGGTTTTCGCGGGTAGACACGCGCGCGGCAAAGGAAAAACAATAATAATTGTTTTGCGTGAGGCGGCGGCCGGTGGCGACGAACGGAGAAACGTTTTACGTGCACTACCCCCGTTGCCGTCCGTGACGTAGGCAGTGTTAATTTAAGTTGTAATGCCGCCGGGAGCACACATATTTTGTCGCTTCATCATAGATATGAATCTATGGAGTGGCGCAGGAAGACTCGCTAGCACCTCTGGCAAACATGGAAAAAAACGTTTTTTAACCAATTAAAATTTGATGTTACGATATTTTTTTTTTTTAAGGATACAATTTATATTTATAAGTTATTATTACAGTGTTAATTTTAAACTTTGAAAATTTGCTTTTCGCACTTTATGACTACCAAATTCATCGATAATTTCTTCATATGAAATGTATTATTTGAATACCCATTTTGCCTATTCTGCTATTTTCATAATTTCATCATTAAATTCACTCGTAGTGTGTACAAATAGACAAAAATTCCAAAAATTATAATAGAAAAATTTCGATTTGATTGTAGGATAAAAATACGACTTTTGCATAATTTTGCGCCCCTGGCGTAGGCACAGTTCGCCATATCCTTGCTACGCTACTGAATCTATGATATCGAGAAGAACTATAAACTGTTTATAGTTGATAGGGTTGATACATATTATTATTTATATTTAGAATTTATAACGACTGTATGTCTACAGGCGTACAGCAATATCCTCCAGGCCATCGAGTATCGACTGTGTTTACACATTAATGCGTGTTAATATTGTAATCATTCGAATAAGATATATACTTATAGCCGTATAGCTATAAGTAAATAAGATTTATCACAGTTAAAAATATTTTTCATATAATACTTAAATTTTATAATATACTTAATAACTGATGGAAAAATTGATTTATCACAAAAAAAAAAAAACGTTTGAAAAATCAATACACGAATGCCGCATACGAAATATTTTCAAATTTTTCCGCCGGGGGCAAATGCCCTCTTTGCTCCTCGTTAAACACGCTTCTGGACGTGGGTGATCCTTCGCGGCTGCACCGTCACGTGCACATTCGAACTGTAAAGCGATAATTATTCATTTCGCGTTGTTCAACGCCTTGTGCGTTCACGATTCCGTCGTTTTCTTTTTCGATTTCCTACAACGACGCCGTTTCTAATAGATGAACGTGTGTACGAAAAACGAAATTACGAATGAAAAACGCTGTACGAGGAAAAAAACCATAAGTTTTAACCGGAACCGTAAAAATGTGGGTCGAGTGTGCTTAGTCGACTAAATATTCATGAAGCCCATCATCGTATCAACGTTAGAGGTTTCGGTATCATTATTATCATTTACTGTACACACCGCATTATTATTATTATTATTATTATTATTATACTGGTACACGGTCAATTACCACCGATACATTTAGTGTTTTCACACACGCATACGCTGCTTCCAGAGTAAACAAGTACTCGTGCGCGTGTGTTGTGCGGACAACGGTTAGAATTTGTATACACCCGTTGCGACCGACGCTTTTTTCTCTCAGTTTTTCGTATTTTTTTTTTTTCGCCCCATCCCTGTACACCGTCTACCCATCGACCACCCCCGTCCTCTAAGCCCATTACGAGTTCTTTGAGGTCTGCGCGCATAAATATATATAACGTTGTCGGTCATATTTCCTCTTTCCGTTTCTTTTATTCCTTTTTTCTTTTTCATCCGAATCTCGTCCGACGGACGGCCAGCCATCGCAACTCTCGAGCCTATTGCACGTGTACACAAGGTCGAGGTATTATTATAATAACGTATTACGTGCGTGTGCGTCATCCTCACGCTGAAGGGTCAACACCGAGGTTGCGACACTGCTTCCACGTGATTACATTCGCCCCAATGATTTATTAATGTATCTATGTAGCGTTATGATTCTATTTTTACAATCTCACGCTGGCCATTTTGATACGTACGACATATTTTTTCAAAACAATCGCATAGGTGTTACACGTTATGACGCAGT